TCTCGTAGCTTGTCTGCTAGGCATGGCGATGGACTCACAATATCATCCATGCTCAGGCACAACCCTTCCACTATTTGTTTGTCTCCAGAGTTTCCGTCTATCTTGGACCAGCTTAAGGGTGCCTTGATTGATGAGAAGGTACTTAATCTTGATATTTGCGTTTATTTTTTATTTTTTTAATCGATTTATGCTTTAAAAAGTAGTGATTCTTTTCTTCAAACAGCTCCCACTGCGTGAAACTTCAACCAAGGCATTTGGGAGACTTCTGATTCATAAGCTCCGAAGTGATCCTTCTAATACGTCACTTCATTTGGAAATTATATCATCCTTAGTGTCGGCTTTGCGCGATGATTCTAGTGAAGTTAGAAGAAAGGCATTATCTGCTATAAAACGAGGTTCTAAGGTATGTGCTTTGTGCTTTCAGAATTTCATGTTGAAATTATGAAACTGTGCATATCATTAAGGATTTTATGCACGGTAAATTGTATTACAGGAAAATGCTTTGGTTATTTTTGGCTCGTTTCAATATTATTGGACTGGCTCTTGCTGAATGCTTGAAAGATGGAAGTACTCCCATGAGACTCGCAGCAGAAAGATGTGCTCTGCGTGCTTTCCAATTGTCAAAGGGTACTTTTTTCTGCTTAACTTGCACTGTTTTACTGCAACTGTTACAGTGTTTCTGCAGAAAGGTTGCAGCTGTAACCGTTTCGGTTCCACATTTTTCCAGGTCCTGAAAATGTTCAAGCTGCACAAAAGTTCATCACAGGCTTGGATGCCAGAGGAATATCAAAGCTTCCCGAAAATAGGTATATACAATACTTCAAGATATAATAATATATGAGATATAAATGAAAATATAATTATACGATGATCGATTTTACTAGTCCGTGCTCTGGTTTTAGTCATTGGTTTGCACTGCTTACTACATCACGGAATTGCAGCGATGATAGTGAAGACGGTGAGGACACGGCAAGTGGCTGAAAAATTGGTTCTTTACCGAGGCGATATTTTGTTTTCCGCTGCTCCAAGAGTGGAGAGGTAGAGAAAATCCATACGTTTGGGATGCCTACAGAAGTTTTCATGCCACCTTTCAATCACAGAAATGCGGATACACAAAGATCAAATCATAGAGGCTTCTTTACCCATTTTTGTAACCTGGGTATTATTACAAGTACAATGTAATTGTTAATTGGATATACTCGAGGATCATGTATAGAACGAGGGCGACGCGCGTCGGCTTGGCCATTTTTGTAAGCTTCATTTTGTCTTTCATGTGTTTCATCTTCCTAGTATGCCACTCCCGATCTCTCATCAAAATATACACAAAACGCCCCTTCATAGAGTAAAGTTCTGCCGCAGAAGGATTTTACCGACGAAACTTTCCTCACTATGTCGTCGCTATAGGCCCTTAATTTGTCGCTGAAAGTAGTCCATGCTGTCGGATATGACAAATAAATTGCAAATCTGAAAATTTTGTAAACCAATTACGATATTTGCTCCCTAATCCAATAACAAGCACATTTTGCGTAAAGACATTATTTAGTTCAAGCATCTTTAGGGCTATGGTTGGGTGATGGACTTTTAAATTTTTCAAGGGATTCAACTCAAGTGAGGAAGAAACACATTGCAAAGCACTAGAAATAAGGGATTAGAAATGAACTGCATGACCATTACGAAGATATATACGAGAGATACCAAATAATTCATGATCATAGAGTGTACTTCCAATCGCTCCTATCAACATTTTGTTGTACATTCTTTACCAACTTGGTTGAATCTCTTAGAATTTGGATGTCCTTTCACCCAAATATAACTTTAAAAATTTCTAACTAAAAACTAAAAAGTAAGAAGGCATGCACATCGACTAGAATCAACTTTCTTTTAGGCCCCTTTGTATCTCTATCGATCACTTATTCGCTTTGGTTCGTTCCATTCCATACCAAGTGTCTTTTCATGGGTGACAAACATAAGGTCTTTTTCTTCCTTTCCACTTATGGGTTGGTAGATGTTTGGGAAAAAGAAAGCAAAGCAAGTTCTAACTAATATTATGATTGGTCTCTCTTTCTTAACCAAGGGGTTTTGCCACCTTTTAAGTTTCATGCTATATAATCTTTCCTTAGCCGTTAAAACTTCCCTCAGGACCCTCACCCCATGAGTGATTGCAAAGTTCAGATTGTTCCAACCACAACAGAGAGAGAGAGAGAGAGAGAGAGAGAGAGAGAGAGGGTTATCTTGGTAAATTAACAAACTTACATTGTTGGGTGATACTGTTTACAGCCAGAGTCTTCCATTCAAGCCTTCTTGGCTTAGAAGCAAGCGTATGGTGCAAAGACTGAAATGCCCTTTTATCAGTGAGCTGCATGTGCATGAGCGTTTCATATATCATATGAGTTCAGAGTTGTTTCTGGTAGCATTGTGGACTGACTGTTGAGACATATGCTAATTGGAGTAGAATTCTTTTCCTTTCAAATCTCTATTTCAACGGTCACGATTAAGCTACATTAATATCTAGGTGCTCACTTTTTTAATATACCAAATTATTTATTAGTGCTTTAGATCAAAGGGACCCTCCCCATTCTGTGTGGTCATTGTCCAATTTACTCACTTGGTGTTTTACTACGTACTAGTATAATTTCAGAATTTAATTACACTTGCGAATTTACCCTTCCTTCCAGTTAATTTATTTGGTTTGAATGAAACACAATATAATATTTTTTTTAATTTAAAAAATGCCCTCAGTATTGTCAGTGGGAAATTATAATCCCACGTTTGAAATGTTTTTGAAATATTGAGCATGTTAAATGGAAACTATCTGAATAATCAAAGAAACCAACATTCTCAACTGGAGTCGTAAATTAATACCCTTCATGAGGCTTGAGTTAGGTGGAAAAAAAATATTCTGGAAAAGTTAATATTGGTAAATATGATTTTCTTCCTTTTTTGTCATGTATTTCAAATACGAAGCAGCTCCAAATCTGTACCAGTCCTATGAATCAACTTATTTCCTACTTTGTTAAAAAAGAAAAAGAAAATATTTCTAAATGAAATACGTACGTATATACGTAGCTACCTGTCTTATTTATCATTTTCCATGCATGCATGCATGGTTTTAACTTTGTCAGGATTATTATTTACAGTGAACATATATATACACACACACACACAAGAGTAGCTAGGGTCTACTCTGCATTTTTTTCTGCACTTCCCATGCTCCAAGGTAAATTGATCGATTCAAACACATTGGTGTTGGACCACTCTCACTTTGATTACCACAAGGCATATATACCATGCTATTGAATTTTGAGAAAACAATGCTCTGTATATACCACCAACTTATATGAACCCAAAGGACCTTTTCTCTTTCGGCATATTTCGATTTATCTCTATGTTGATTTTTTCTTTAATTTTGTAAAAAATAATAGAGTTGTGCATGAAAAATAAAGGGTTTGTCCTAATTTTCGAACGGATCTACTCTTCTTTTCAACCAACCGAAACACTTTTTCGCTTATTATGTCCTTCATATTTTTAAGTGTCAAGGATTTACATGAAAGAAGTTCATCGTTACATGCGTCATGATTCAATGATGCATTGTCATGTGTAAATTTTTCTCCACTATTATTAGACTTGAATACTATAGTAGTGATGACCCAAGCATATAAGCTGTTCTCGATCGCAAGCAAAATCACTTTCCAAACAAAAGATCTTACGAGATGCTATAGTAAAATATCACGAGATGTGGTGGAGGGTATTTAAGCAAATGGAAAATTTAAAAGTTTAAGAGTCAAATCCAGATTTGTGGAGTTGAGAAGACTGACAACCAAATTTTTTATTTATTAATGAGGAGCAAATTAAGAAGAAGCATTCGAGATTCGAGAATAGAAGGTTACCCATTTATTATGTTAAACACACTAATATTTTCATATTATTCAATCCATTACTTTATTTACTAAAATTTTGTCATTATTTCTGAAATGTATACACACATGGAGAATGGTGCGTTTGTAGCACAGATCAAGGGACACATTGTCCCGATCGATCGAGTACGTTGAATTTTGAATAGTCCTCTCTTTGGGTTTCGTTTTCATCGCCTCAAAGTTCAAACCCTAGACATATTCATTTATTGTTGTAACAACTAATTGGATGCTTGCTGGTTTCTACGTATTTATAACTTTGACGTTATAATTATATATGTTGACAGAAAATGTATGATACAATCCATGTAAGGTTATCTTTAAGAGTAATGTTAGAGAGACTAAATTAGCAAATCAAATGAGGTGTCATCAATTGAAAATGAGCACGTTTATCAGCGATTAAGTAATAATTCAATCACCAACTTCTATGTCATTTAGTTTATAAAATAGTCTCCCAAACATTACTCTATCTTCAATGGAAAACTTATTACTTGATTTGTCCTTGGAAATTACTATATATTTAGTCTCATTTTACCATTTGAAACAAGTTTTGTCTTACTTTGTCCCCTAAAACTGTCATTTTCGTATATTTAGTCTCAATTTACCCCATTTTCGTTCATTCATCAAATAGAGGTTAAATTAAAATGTTAGAATTAGGATAGTTACATGGTTGGATTCCTTCCAACATAATATGTGTGTGTGTGTGTGTATGTTGTAAATGGTAACATATCTTATTCACATTCGGATATACCTACATTTAGGTGAGAAAAGGTGACCGGGCATGCAATGCCATGTGCTAGAAGCAAGGAATACGCCAAATGAGTGTTACTTGGTTGGAAGACTTATATAAGAAGGTACATACAGAAACAAATTAAAAAAATACTCGCACATAAAAAATAATATATGGAGAGTCTGAGAAGTAAAGAAAGATAAAGATCTAGAGAAGTTCGAAGAATTGGAAGGTTTGCGGTTTCAAGTAAATATTAATGGCAAAGTGTATTGGGGCAGATACACATTGAAGGAGTGCAATAAAAGGTGGTGGAAGTTTCAGTTGGGGGTATTGGGTAGGTCTCCCTTTTTATTTTCATTTTTAATGCTTTTCTAGCCTGTCCACTGCCCACTGCCCTCCCCTCTCCTTAAATTTCTTTGCCCTCAACTTGTATACATCGTCTCGTTTTTGCTACGAGATCCTGTTAAGAAGCTGCTGATAGAGGTTTATAAAATTTTAAAAAGAAAAGGCAGCAGTGCTTCCAATATATATGAAACCAATGTTGCAGGCAATGATGATCTTGATGTTGAAGCTCTAAAGGGTCTCTCTCTCTGCGCTGTGCTCTGAGCTTAATTATCCTTCACCCACCTCCCCTTCCTCTCCATTAATTTTGTAAGTGTAGAGAGAGAGAGAGAGAGGACCCTCTTGGTTGCAAATTGCATCAAGTCCCTTTCCTTGAAGTTTTGTGGTTTGTGTGTGTGGGTGTCTGGTGCAAGTAATATATCAAGCAAAATAGTCAGATTTGGTTGTGTTGTTTGTTTTACCAGTAATGGTCAAGTGCTTCTGCATCTTCTAGCAGCTGCTTCTAGCTTTTTCTTTCCATTGTCTCTCATCTCTGCCACTGAATGAGATAATAGCATGGGGACTACTACTACTCTTGGTGGAAGGAACAAGAGAGAAAAGCACTTGTCACCTGTTCTTCTTCTGAAGCACTTTTTTCTCATCAGCATATTTTTCCAAAATTTTTCACTTTCTGTGGAAGCTGCTTATTCTGGAAAGCTGAAATACACAAGGCATAATAAGCAAGTTAGCAGCTTGAGACTGGAAAGGATTGAGAAGCACTTGAACAAGATCAACAAGCCAGCTGTTATGACCATTCAAGTATGTGCATTTTTATGACTTTTTTCACAATTTGTAATAATTATTAAATCAAATTATTTAGCTTATAATTATTTTGTACTTTCATATGTATATACATTAATTTTCCCTTCAATTTTTGCAGAGTCCAGATGGAGATATCATAGATTGCGTTCATAAAAGAAAACAGCCAGCTTTGGATCACCCTCTTTTAAAGAATCACAAGATCCAGGTACAAAAAAAGCTTAAAAAGTTGACCTTTCTCACTCCCCAACAATTTATTGAATTTGTAGCTTTACATTTAACTTTTGTAACTTTTTTAAAGATGCGGTTTTTTTTTGTCAAATAAAAGATGGGGTCACACACACACACACATCACTCTACCCTCCTTAAAAATATAATTAGTCACAGTAGTGCTGCATTGATCCTTTTGTACTAATTGCGTTCGAATTCTTTTTCGTAATTTAGATTTATTTAGTGTAAAAAGATTTGTACCTAAATTTGAATTTTCCTACATGTAGTTTAGATGATTAGTGAAAAAACTTCTTGTATCAAAAGAAAAACAGTTCGTTAGGTCAATTAAATGGTGTCGCCGAATAAATCATGAGCTCGGGTATAAATCATGAGCTAGGGTTTGGTGTTGATGCATTATTCATTTGTTGTGTAATCATATTTGTGTACGTGTAACTGCAGAGAAAGGCACCAGAAAGGCCAAAAGCAGTAGTAACAAAGAAGATGAAGCAAAATAATGATGACGAATTAGATGGGATTAAGGATAATAATAATGTGATTAATGCCACTGCTAATCAAGGAGGAGGAGGAGTGATTAAGGGTGCATGGGTACTGCAGCAAATGTGGCATAGAAATGGGACAAGATGTCCGAGAGGAACGGTTCCTATACGGCGGAGCACAATGGATGATGTGCTGAGGGCCAAGTCTTTGTTTGACTTTGGGAAGAAACAGCATCGTACCAGTTTTAATATTAATAATAAGAATATTACTGCTGATCTTGCTTCCAGACGAGTCGATGCCCCCGATGTGGTCAGTGGGAATGGCCATGAGGTAAACCCTAATGATTTCCCCGTCCAATTTAAGCCTCCATTTATTCATCAAATCGTGCCTGTACATATGTGTATGTGTTCTATTATATATAATATATTATATCATCCTAATCATCATTTTGATATGATAACAAGTGTTATTTCCGCAAATGTGAGCTATAATAATTGATCAGGGTAGTGTGCTTGATGATTTTAGTAAAGTTCAAATACTATTTCATAGAAGAGATAATTTAGGTATTTGTTTTATAAAGAGAATTGTTATTGGCACTCCAAAATTCTCATTCTACATTCTAAACTTTCTATATTTAGAAAGAAAAATACACTTGTGAGAAGTGTAGAATAAAATTTTTGAAGTGCCAATAACACTGCCCTTTATAAAAAGAACAACATATTTTCCAACTGCATGATCATCTTCATCGCATCATCTTCTTGGAAACATGTGTTTCTTTTTCTTTTTTCTTTGCAATTAAGTTGGATTTTAGTTAACAAATTAAGGAATTAGATATGATGCATAGTAATCGAGAACATTAAATGGACGACACAATTTGTTAGCTATACATAGATTTTTTAAATTTTTGGTTATGTTAGCTATAGATAGATGATTTCTTAATTGTATATATTGTTGAAAATTAAATGTGTATAGGTTGTTGAAAATTAAATATGTGTGGACCATGAAGTATAATACTTTGACTATAAATTAAGTTATCGAAAAGCCAATCTTTGTTAGATATAAAGATTATATGTTACAATTATCTAACAATTATTATATTTTATGTAGAATATACTTTTTGATAAACTAATCAACAAATTCAGTATGAAAACTAATTACATATTCTAAATTGATTTTTTTTTTTTTTTTGATAAACTTTATTAAAAAGCAAAGTCTCCGGAGCATCCCGTACAAACAGACCCAGTGTCAGAAAGCCATTCGTAGTACAATTAGGAACTATATTTATATAAAGATAACATTAAGGATATCAATTTTTTAAGTCAAATGATAAAAATAAGCACGTTAATCAACATTTAAATAATAATTCAATCATTCACTACCAACATCATTTAGTTTACAAATTGGGTCTCCTTAGCATTAATTACCTCTTATCCAAATATGATCAGAAGGGATGTCAATTTACAAACAAACAATACAGTGTAAAAATGACATAGAAATTTCAGATTTTCTAATTCCAAGTAAATGGTCATTAATTGATTATTTAACAGAGATTATGTTGTATGATTGAAAATTATGTAGCATGCAATCGCGTACACTGGAACATCCCAAGAGTTATATGGCGCTAGGGCTACAATCAATGTTTGGACCCCTTCGATCGAACAGGTAAACGAGTTCAGTCTCTCACAGATTTGGGTTCTTTCCGGGTCGTTCGACGGCACAGATCTCAACAGCATAGAAGCTGGATGGCAGGTAGGTTCTTCTTCCATTTTATTTATTATATTATTTATTACTTATTTGTACACTTAATTAGGTCTAATTATTAAATCACCTCTAATTAAGAGGATTATCCCATTTTTTTAATACTACTATTATCTACTTTGAATATGGTATTAGTTGAATTTCGATTTCCTGAAGCCTTGATTGTTCCACTAGTCAGGTCAGTCCGGAGCTCTATGGTGACAGCAGACCTAGATTGTTCACTTACTGGACGGTCAGATTCTATCCCTTTCTCTCTTGCAAATTAGGTGTATATATTTGGCATGATTATTTTCCCAAAAAAAAAAAATGATTAGTGATTTTCCATACTCAAATCTTTGCGTAAATCATAATTTGTCATGCATACAAAAGCTTTTCTTTGTGTAATTTTAATAAAGTATTTATTACTATATGTCAAACTGTAAATACTTATTACGTACTAAGAAATTACTTGTTACACTTTAATCACATTGCACAAGTGATAAGCCTTTTATATATATTCATCAAATTAATTTGAGTACTAAACAACATGGTTGACAGACAATTACTTATGAATATTTTGACTATGCTGAGTAGGTTTTTTATTTTATTTAAAGAATAAATAAAAGATTTTATGACAACTATTTGTTTTTGTGACAACTATGTTGAGTAGGAGAGATTCTTCAATGTGCCGAGAACCCAACCCGGTACAACAAGTATAATAATACAGATGGTTGGCCACTTGGAAAAGAATAATATTTCAACCAATTGTTTGATAACACTTGGTGTACCAAGTAGTATTTCTAGCATACTGAAAAATCATTGAGTAAGTAGTAATGTGAAAGTCTTCATTTAGGACATTATTGGGAAATGAAGAAATTGGTTCTAACACACATTTTTCCAATTTCATTCAATAACACCCTATTCTAGAGGTAGCTAGAATAGAATTTTATCAAGTCTAGTTAAAAAGTACTACACATTTTTTGTGCAAATTCTAGTTCTAGGGCATGGGCTTAGAGCTTTGAAAATCTATATGCATGCATGTTAGTCAACAATAAAGATATTTGGATATTGCTCTATGTATCATTTGGCAATATGGGCTCCATTTAATTCTTTGATATTGTTAGAGGCTTCAATGTCAATGAATATTCATATATTAATTTGTTTAATTATTTGATAACTTTAATATACTTTAAAGAATTCGAAGAAGTAATATCGTTTAATCTTCTATTTTATTTATTTAAAAAAAAATACAGACAGATTCATATCAAGCAACTGGGTGCTACAATCTTCTGTGTTCCGGATTTATCCAAACAAACAGCAGGATAGCTATTGGAGCTTCCATTTCCCCAGTCTCATCCTATGCCAGCAACCAATACGATGTCACCATTCTTATATGGAAGGTAATCCAAATCATCCAATATTAACATACAAATTAATTAAGGTGGAAGAACAATTTGGTTAATGAATGCATGCGTATGTTTAATTATAGGATCCAAAGCTAGGAAATTGGTGGATGGGATTTGGAGACAATACCCTGGTAGGGTACTGGCCAGCAGAGCTATTTACACACTTGGCGGACAAGGCAACTATGGTGGAATGGGGCGGCGAGATTGTGAACTCGAGGGCCAACGGCGAGCACACCGCCACCCAAATGGGGTCAGGTCATTTCGCTGAAGACGGGTTTGGGAAAGCAAGCTATTTTCGAAACCTAGAGATTGTGGACTCGGACAACAGCCTCAGCTCGGTCCGGGATGTGTCAACTTTGGCTGAAAATACCAATTGCTACGACATCAAGAGCTCCTACAACAATGAATGGGGCACTCACTTCTACTATGGTGGCCCCGGGAGAAATGCACAATGCCCATGATGACATCATCATCACCATCACCAATGATATATTTGAGTACCATATTATTAATTGAGTAATTGGTCTAGTTTAGTTAATTAATTCCTATAAATATAAGCAAATTCTTTTTAATTATTATGTAATTACAGATGTGCTCCTTCCACTCTTGTTTCTGCTATTCCGGGCCACAGTTTTCATTTTGCAAGGAAGGAAGCTAAAGTTAGCTAGGGTTGTGTATTATTAGCTAAATAAGGCAAACTAAGAATTGCACAAACAAGCATGGAAATAGCAAACTTTGTTTAGAATTCATTTTATTTTTATGTCGGGTAGAACTTTCCCCACCGTTTTCTTCATGCCAAAAAGAAAAACAGTTGCTTATGAGTTTCTTCTTTCACCATTCACGATATTTGACGAATTTTCCACGTAACTGTGGGTGATGACTTAGCCACATCGAAAATTATTCCTCCGCATATTTTTATTCTCGACGGAATAATTTATATTTAACTAAATGAGCTCTAATTAAATCTATAGTGTTCTTTTTGTGATATATTGTGTAGGAGAACAAGCCTCCACGATTGACTCAGTAAGTACAATTAAGCGCAAACCGAACCCAAATTAAACACACGGACGCTGAAGATCAGAGCTTATTCAAAGACAAATCACATGGCATATGAACGGACAAAGTACCATCTAGTGGTTAAGCTACTCAACGAAAATACAGAGGAAATTAATCAACCATAAGCAACCACCGTGAATGACTTGACGACGACTTCCCTAGACGCTGCATGCGGCAATCGTACGTCCCAATTCCACTCCCTTATTCTTTAGGCAGTCCCAGGACGAGTGTTGATCAAGCTTTCCACAATTAATACAAGAAGTAGAGTAGCACACCTTATTTGATGCCCGCAACACCACCCCTTACGGAAGAAAAGAAGACACTATTTTGTAGCCCTCGCCAACACTAGTTAATTACATGGGACTTGAGTTGATGGAGATACCAGCAAAATGCACTATAATTGGAACCCGCAGCACCACCGCAAAAATAACAGCCTTTTCTTCTTCTTTTTCTTCAAGTCGAAGTCGACTCTGAGAGTCTTGAACAGCCTTTACTTCTTTCTTCTCACCTGTGCATACATTTGTTTGAGAAAGTTAATGCGCAGATAAGTTGATAACATACACACACATATATGTAATCAAGCTATGTGGATCGATCGTACACAACCATAGGCCCTTTATGACTAGTCTGTATTAAATTCTGGATGGATCTCATTCAAATCATCAAATACTTACTACTACTGCATGCTGAATTCATGTTCAATTACATTTCATTTATTCTAGCTAGGCTAATTTGTCAGTTAATTAGGAGGATAACAAAGCCCTGCATATGCATGCCATACTTGAAATTAATACTCCCCAACTAAGCGAATTCTGTGGAGAATTCTACCCAGGTCAGGTAAGGTAACCGACCAAATGGACAAATTAAATGTCTAGTTGTATTCATATTCACTCGTAAGTGAGAGGACTTAGAATTAAACTTCGTAAATGGAGAGTGCATAACCAATTTATTTCACCACACCCCTTACTGTAAATTTATCTTTGTATAAAAAGGATTTTGAAAAAATTAGGGTAAAAACTCAGTTAAAAATTCTAAAGATGATCAAGAGCATATTTGTTAATTATTATTGTCTAGCAGAAAGATAACGACATGAGTTAAAAAGTTAGCTGTTAGGGGTCAAGAGCACATTTGTTTATTTTTTATTTTTTATTTTTTTTTAATAAAGTGACAATGTTAGTGTGTTAAATAGTTAGTTGTTAGGGGGTAGAGAATTGGTGACAATCAACTTGCACCATATTACATAGAGGATAATTGTTTTCCGCCACTATGTTAATTAAAACGTCATTTGCTTTGTTAATTATTACTTGGCAGTCAAGTTAATTACTTGCTTTTTGGCCTTCTCTCTTACTTATTTTTGCCTAGTTACTAATTAGTATTGCAGTGTCAGTCAAAATTAAATTGACTCCAAAACATTCACCCCTACTTACAGTACGAGAAGAAACAATTCCCACACGTTTGGGAAAACTACCACCAGTGCCACCCTTTAAATTACTTAACAGACCATCTGCTTCTTTTAATCCGGTGAAGATTTTTAGATATTTTTTCGATTCGCTAAGGTAACAAACCAGTACTGGGAAAGCCGAAAGTTAAAAAACTAAAAACAAAATCCAGGTGAAATAAGGAATTCGAAGCCTTATTTGATTACCAATGTCTAGTAGTAATTTCAATTGTCCTTGTAGGTTTAGGAAATAGTTCGTGCTTCTTTTACTTGATCAACAAGGACTGTTTATTTTCTTATAAAAGCCTACCAGCAGTACAGTCTGGCCCTCCAAATTCGCACAAACATTCTTTGCTATCTCCATTCCTCCTACGTTTCAGAAATTCCGTTATTGGAGAACAATTTAGAAACAAAAATAACAGAATACAAAACTTGAAATACTTATATTTTATTACTCAAAATTACTTGCAATACAGAATGAAATTACACAATAAATATATAAATTAAAATGATACTAACTTGAATGAATCAAAGGTAGAGGCTAGTGCAAAAGTTATGTCATTCAAACAGTATTTCCGTCCCACTCTTGTGCTTGTGGTTCTACAATGTCTGCTCGACCAGAACACAACTACCTAATTCTACAACATGTACTGGATTATAAAATTCTAGCAAATTGTTTTGTGTGTTTACTCTTTAAAAATTTTGTACGAAAGAAAAAAAGAGGAAAAAAAGATAATGATACTTGGAAACTATGATTACAGATATATAGATTGTTTCACACCCTATACTTGAAAACTATGATTGCAGGTGTCTTTTAATCGAAACGTTTTTTAATTAATTAAAGAGGAAGAAAAAATGATGATACTTGAAAAGTATGATTGCAGATATACACAACTCTTTTTAAGAGCTGTCTCTTAATCAAAACGTTTTTTAATGAATAAATTAATTAAAAACTTAAGAGCTGTCTCTTAATCAAAACGTTTTTTAATGAATAAATTAATTAAAAACTTAATTCAACGACCACAAATCCTACGATTTCAATCCATTTCCTAATGATTAAAATCCTATTGAAATTAAAAAGGACTAGACCTATATAAAGGCCATTGATAATTCAATGTTTCCCGATGTGGGACAATAGGAGTCTCAAAACTCCCACAACGATAACATGGGACGATGTGCGAAAGCTTAAAGTTGAGTCTTTCAACAAACTTCTGGCGGAGGTGAAAGCAGTCGCGAGAAACCGAGACGAAGAACTTGACTTGCTCCAAAAGAGAGTTGTGATCGATTTGGTTGAATTTGAAAGAAAAGCCGCCAAGAAATTCAGAGAAGCGGAAAGCTACTTCTGCTTACTATGATGAAGAAAAACCTGCTTCTGTTTGTTATCATCATAAAGACAGGAAGCTTGATTACAGAAGCAGCAGCCGAAGCAGGAGAGATGAATATGAATACTATAAGGATTGTGATGAGGATCTTGAAGAGCAACCTAGCATTTCGATGATGAAGAAGAAGAAGCAGAAGCCGGCCAAGAAAGTGGCGAACACAAAACCATCCGCTCCATCAATTCCCTCTCCAATACCGGAGTTGCCTAATGAATTCAAGGAAAAGATTGCATCCTTGCATGGTTACCAAGTGCAATTGGTGATCCAGAAACAACTTTTCAAGACTGATTTGAGCAGTGGTCTCGTCTCTCGATGCCAGTGAATCAAGGGATTAATAAGAACTTTCTCTGCGAAGATGATAAAAGATTGAACGACAAGGGATTGGTATATGTGAAAGTGATAGATCCATGCTTAAAGGTGCATGATGATTTAAGGTCGACCAAGTGGAAAGCTCACAACAACAATAATTTTGTATTGAATTTTGAATGTCTATATTTTGTATTATGTAAAACCAAGTACAAGGAAAGCTCATATAAATGAGCGGAAGAAGGGAAAAGAAAACAGAAGCCGAAAGAAAGGTGAGGACAAGCAGAAAACATGGAAAAGTAAAGGTGAGGAAAACATGGAAAAGTAAAGGTCACCATACACCCATGCTTTCTGTCACTATACACCCAGAAAACATGGAAAAGTAAAGGTCACCATACACCCATGCTTTCTGTCACTATACACCCATGCTTTCTTCCAATACTCCCCCTCAAGCTGGATCAAAGGGATTAATTGATCCAAGCTTGAACAAAAGACGTTGAAAATCAACAGAAGGTAATCCTTTTGTGAAAATATCCGCAAGTTGATCATGACTGCGCGTGTAGTGAGTGTCGATCACCTTGGACTGAACTTGATTTCTGACGTAGTGACAATCAACTTCAATATGTTTAGTTCGCTCATGGAATACAGGATTCGATGCAATGTGCATCGCGGCCTGATTATCACAGTGTAGGGACATGGGTTGTTGATGAGGAAAACCTAAAGTCAACAGAAGGCTTTTGAGCCAAATAAGTTCACAAGCAGTGGACGCCATAGCACGATACTCTGCCTCTGCACTAGAGCGTGCAACAACACTTTGTTTCTTGCTTTTCCAGGTAACTAGGTTGCCTCCCACAAACGTACAAAACCCAGTGGTAGACTTGCGATCGAGAGAATTGCCTGCCCAGTCAGCATCGGTATAGCCTGAGATCTGAGTGTGACTATTGTTGCGCATAAGAATTCCTCTACCAATGGAACCCTTAAGATAACGTAGCACACGATGAACAATTTTCAAATGATCCATGCTTGGAGAGTGCATAAACTGGCTAACAATGCTGACAGCATATGATATATCAGGACGTGTGATAGTCAGATAAATGAGTTTGCCAACCATTCTTTGATAGTAACTTAAATTGGGAACTGGATCACCGTGAGTTTTTAGCTTCAAGTTGCTATCCAAGGGGGTACGAGCAGGCTTGCAATCTGTCATTTTTGCTTCGTGAAGAAGATCCATGACATACTTGCGTTGGTTGAGGAAGAAACCCTTGTGAGAGTGTGCTATCTCGATGCCCAGAAAGTATTTGAGAGTGCCAAGATCCTTGATAGCAAACTTGTTGTTGAGATACTGTTTAAGAGCATTAATCTCTGACATATTATCACCTGTCACAATTAGATCATCAACATAAATGAGCACAACTAGTTTACCCACTAAGCTGGAACGAACAAATAGGGAAGAATCCGCAATACTTCGACAAAAACCAACCCTTTCCAGAACATGACTGAGCTTGGCATACCATGCACGTGGACTTTGCTTGAGACCATAAATGGATTTATGGAGTTTGCACACCATTTC